GTTTATGGGTCCAGGTGAAAAAGGTTTCCGACCAGAGCACGCTTTCTCTTGTCGCCCCTTTCTGTGAAAGAATGGCTGAAGACCATGATGGTCCCACATGGTTTGGGAGCCCATCTTTCCTGGGGCTTGTCTTTGCCTTCCTTTAACTCCTCCATGAACCCTGCCCAGTGCTCCAGGGATCCCCTTCTCTTGCCCTGTTCTGCAGCATTCTGGAGCAGCCAGCCTCACTGGCCACACCGCACAGCTCTCCTCTCCCCCAGGTGATGCTGGGCATAGAGGCCCAGAAGCGAGTGTCTGCGCTCCAGGATGCCATGAGAATGGGCAGGAGGAGGTCCCCGCCCTCTGTGCCTTCCCTCATCCGGAGTTGCTCAGCCTCGTCTGGAGCTCCTGAAGAGAACCTGTTTCCATTAGCCTGTGGTGCCAGAGCATTTGGCTACATAAGAACCTTGGAACCTTCCTTTTCTTGCATGGCTTCCCACTTCACCCTCCCCATTCCGTGGTTTGCCATTCATCATCCTCGGAACTTTTTCCTCTCCCTGAAATTACAACCCAAGCCTCTTTTAATGGTTGTACTCTGTTTCTTCTTCTGACTTTAGGGACCAGCAGCACAAACACCGTTGGGGGAACAGTGAACAGCCAGGCCGCCCAGGCTCAGCCTCCTGCCATGACGTCCAGCAGGAAGGGCACGTTCACAGATGACCTGCACAAGTTGGTGGACAACTGGGCCCGAGACGCCATGAATCTCTCAGGCAGGAGAGGAAGCAAAGGACACATGAGTTACGAGGTCAGTCTGCCCCTTTTGCCATTTTCCGGATCCATCAGAGTATCAGTGAACCGTGTGTCTCGCTCATATGAGGGACCTTCTCCAGTAGCTCATGAGTTTTAACACTTTTAAGAAAACAAGACAAAAATCACCCAGGTCCCCTTCTAGTTTTCCTGCCCTGAATCCCGAGCTCTGTATCGGTCAGCTCAGTTTTTTCTTCCCTTTTCCTTTCACACTCTGAACTACACACACACGACACCACCCACCTCCAATCAGAACAAGTATTTGATAAATATAAAGAGCCAATAATTATGATGGAAGGTTGTCTGGGTGTTGTTTTCAGTGTCCCCTGCAAGATGAGAGCAGCCCGCTTCTGGAATTTTGTCTCAGTTCCACCCATTTCACACCCACAGCAGCTTCACGTGGCATTGTTCTCTCCTCAGGGCCCTGGCATGGCGAGGAAGTTCTCCGCACCTGGTCAGCTGTGCGTCTCCATGACCTCAACCCTGGGTGGCTCCGCCCCCATCTCTGCAGCATCAGCTACCTCTCTAGGCCACTTCCCCAAGCCCATGTGCCCCCCGCAGCAGTACGGTTTCCCAACCCCCCCCTTTGGCACGCAGTGGAGCGGCACGGGCGGCCCAGCAACGCAGCCACTTAGCCAGTTCCAACCTGTGGGAACTGCCTCCTTACAGAACTTCAACATCAGCAACTTGCAGAAGTCCATCAGCAACCCTCCAGGTTCCAACCTGAGGACCACTTAGACCTAGAGGCGTTGACGGAGTAGATTGGGGGCAGGAGGTGGAGTGGTGAGGGGCCGGTGGAAGGGGGATGGGAAAGGAGCCTACCTACTAACTACTAGCGCTGCATTTAACTGGTTATTTCTTGCCAGACAGGAAAGTGTTTAATACCGCTTAGAGCCCTCAGAGTGGAGAATCTCCCTGTGCTTTCACCGTTTATTGGAGTGGGATGAGAAGGAAAGAAAGAGCAGGTTTCTTGTGTATGCTTTGTTATCTCTCCCCAACAGTGAGCGCTTGGAAAGAGAATCGTGTTGATCAGAAAGCTTCTAGAGAGCTCAGTGGAAGAGCAAAGCCCATCTGTGTTCTCAAGTAGTGGGGCTCTTAATCTTGTTACCCACCGCAAGTCCCTTATCCCCTCAAGAACATAAACCGCAAGACAAAAAACTAAACTATTGGGCTCTCTCCTACCCTGTCCCCACCCCAGCCAGTCTTTAGAACCCAGTGAAAACAGCAGGGGACGGAGGTTCCAACCCTCTCACGATAGGTCATGAGTGCTTTAAGCAGATACTATTCGCAGCTTTGACTGCAGCATTAGCCATTAGGAAAACAAAAGTAAGTTCCCTGCGGACATGTAACTTTGCCATCAGTTTTGATGTGGAAACACTGTGATATATAAATGTTGTTGGACAACAGTAGTTTTAAAAGTAAGATATGAAAGGTTTAAAAAGTTGAAAAAAGCTAGTTCTGTCCTTTACCTATTGAGACTTTACTTTCTCCTTTGTATTTCCATTGTATTAGATAAATAAATGTGAATGTAAAATTGTATAAATTACTGTACTTGAATACTTCTGTTCTCCCAGTATTGCTTGCTGGATGTTTTAGTGCCTTGGACTTCTATTGCTTCTGCCGTTAACATCAACTTTCTCATCAGACCCCAGTCAGCAAAAGGGCGTATGGAAGGAAACCTTGGGTCCATGTGACCCAGCAGTGGATTATGCAATAAGGAAATTGAAGGAGTATTTTTTTTTCAAGTCATTCAACAATTTTGTCTAGAGCAGGTGTAAGATGAGCAGGTGAGAAGTTGACAGTAGTGGTCAAAAGCAGAAAACTCTGTTTCAGGACAGGTGAGGAGGGGTGTTGTCACAAAATCGGGCAATTTACAAGATTGAGCGTGGTATGCGATAAGTGATGAAAGAAAAAGAAAGACTACGGGATGGGAGAACAGACTTGTTTTGAAGATAGGTGATGCTTGGCCAGTGGCTGCCATAAGCCTTACTTACCTGAGCTGGGCTTGAGCAGAGGAGACCTGGAAGAAATGGCTGAATATAAAGGGAAGGGCACGGGGTGGGGTGGGGGGGGGGGGGGCGCTAGTTTTTAAGCTGGGAAATATGATAGTGAAATGTCACAGATGGAGAAAGTTGTTCTAAGAAAAATCATTTGGATTGCTTCCCTCTTGGTGCAGATGTCCCGTGTATTTCTCAGCTTGGGGTACTGTAGTTTGTGGAAAGTGGACCCACCACATCTGAATTTAAGCATTGTAGGAAAGAATGCTTATTCCTACCCACTTCCTATATAATGTCCAAATGGTTGCAGGATCGTAATCTCTTGCGCCACCTTATTTCTAGAATTAACAGCTGATATTCTCACGTTCTCTGTAAACAGATATTCCCCTGAAGTAGTAACTGCAACCAACCAGTATTATTTAGTGCTGTGCCTAGTTGTAATGGGCAGTTCTGTTACTTTCAGAACTTTCAGGAAATACACTCCTCATTGCCTGAGTTTGGGATCTCTGTTCTCCCAGAAGGTGGGGAAAGAAGCCAGGGCTCTTAATTTTGGGGTGCTTCTTGTCTTGACTCTTGAGCTGGGAAACTGACCTATTCCAACCTCTTACCCACCTCAGTGGCACATCCCAGGAATCCCCATGACAGGAAGAGCCTGGATGGCTGTCCTGTCCTCCGGTGGTCATTTTCTTTAAGTTAGCCGAGACCCCAAAGATGCAAATGAGAGCTGAAGGTTGTAGGAAGGTAGAAATGAAAAGGGCAGGCGTTCCAAGCTTTGCTTCAAAACTGTTTACTTACTTTTACTCTGCTTATAATCCTCGGGAGATGACAAGAGTAAGGACAGAACAAGAAGCGCCAAGGAAGTGGGGAACGGACCCCTGGGCAAGGAGGCAGGGCTTTGCAGCAGAGGAAAGAGGAGCCAGAGTGCAGCACGTGACTGTTTTGTTTCTTTGGTTTAATCATTTTGAGATCTCTTCACTCACTCACAGGTGGAAAATAAGAACTGCTTTTATTTACTGTTTTTTCGCCTCCTGTGGATGAAATAACTGAAGCCTAGAGGAATGAACCTAGTGCTACTGAACTGTTTAAATTATTTTTGTGTTAATAGTACACTTTGAGTATCTTTTTCCACATTAAAAAAATTCTTTCTGAATTATAAGTGTTTTCCTTACATTATTTAACAATGTACAGTTTAAAAAAACAGACTCAATTCAAACCTTGGGGATTCTCGGCAGCCCGTCAACCCGTGCGTTTGGGATAAACCCCGGGGGTCACGCTTTCTGCTTCCGTTTGTTACCTTTGTAGATGAAACCATTCAAATAAACCAAACTTGCTTTTCTTGAGCTGTGGGGTTTCATTTTCAGCACGTCTTTTTCGTAATCTCATTAGCTCTGATTTGACTTGTGTGCAGTTTATAACTGGATTCCTATCTCCAGGACCTTTTTTTTTTTAACAGCAGTTCTGACCTGAACTAAGATGCTGCAGACAGGCAAGATATATTTTCTGAAGACCATGGTAAGGATATGAAAATCAGAAGATGAACCTACGCCCAAAGCTGTGCAGCTCAGGTGAGGTGGCGGGAGGTCAGGGAAAGCCCCGTGCTCGTCTTCCAGAGGCGCGGCGGTGGCCTAGGGGCACAGCTTCCCAGATGGGCCTGTGCTCCAACAAACTCAAGACTGGGTACAAGGCCCAACCCAAAATGCCCTTAGAAAGTAAAACTGCACACTCATTAGTTGGGGGAAAGGATTATGAAACATCTAAACACTAAAAGAATTTGTTAAGGTGGGTGATAATCGCACATCCGAAATAGCTGAACAGCTGCTTATGTCATGCAGATTTTGGTGGTTTTCCAGTACATATAAACGTTGTTTACACTGTAGCCTGCTACGTCTGCAATAGCATTATATCTAAAACAAACAATATGTACCTTTTTTTTAAGAATATATTTTTAAAAAATATTTATTTACTTGGCTGCACTGGGTCTTAGTGGTGGCATGCGGGATCTAGTTCCCTGGCCATGGATCGAACCCAGGACCCCTGCCTTGGGAGTGTGGAGTCTTAGCCACTGGACCACCAGGGAAGTCCCTAAAACAAAATATACTTTAAAATGCTGTTGGGAAAACGCTCAACACAGGATTGCCAAAAACCTTCAATTTGTTGTTTAAAAAAAAAAATCTGCGAAGCGCAATAAAAAGAAGAAAGAGGTATGTATGCCTGTTGTTTTGTTACAAAGTAGGATTTTATTTTGCTTTCTTAAAATGCCTTTTGTTTGGTCTTAGATTATTTCCTTCTTATTAGGAAAAAATGGAGGTAGTTTCATGATGAGCCTATAAGTGACAGATGGTTGTAGATGAGTGGCAGCGAAAGGGGTCAGAGGTCACACAGAGTGACATACCGCAGGCCGCTGTGGAGGTTGGTGCGTGGGGAAAGTGGCCACTGTGATTCCTAGAATTTCTACCTTTGTTAACATGAAAGCTTAGGAATAAATAGTGAAGAGCCAAAGAAAAGGTGGTGTTTAATCTCCGCAGGGCTTCCCAACCTGCCCAGCTTGATCTGCGTCAGGTTCCAATAGTGAAATCCTCTAGCGAAGTTGAGCATGAAGCAAGGTAAATCCCCGGAGGTAAAGCTCATTCCCTAGGAATGATGAGTCATTTCATGACCAACAAGCGGTTTTTGAAAGTCCCTTTGTGACAGAATCCAGTGAGGTGAACGGAGCCTTGGTCAAGATGGATCCAATTTCCTTTTCTTCGTGTCCTGGTTCTTCCTATATGAATCATAGTCTCCTATGGAAGAGAAAATTGTTCACATACAGCTGCCATGATGTAAAAATAAGGAATAAACTGACAGCTAAAAACTTCTGAATCCTATTAGTTACTGTCCTACTTTAAACTAAAGGCCAAGAATGACAATTGTTATGAGGGGGACAGGTCCCTCTGTTAACACTAGACCAAGCTGCAGTAGCGATCATGACAGGCCTGCTTTCAAGAGGAAAGCTCTTAATGCAGCCATGCTTCAGTGTCCCACTTCTATCAGCTAGAAAGAGCTGCACCTCAGGTCAGGACTCCAAGGAAGACTTGCAACTCTTAATCCAGTTACACTCCATTTTCTTAGACTGCTACTGGTCTGGCATGAGTCCCCTCCAACTTCTTAAAATGGAATGTCATTCTTTCTTTAAGATTCGTAGAATTATATATACCCAGGTTCTCCCTTCCATTTCTGCTCCTAAAACACTTTGCTACCTGTTATGTGTTGGTTAAGGTTGTAAGTTTGAAGGTGCCAGGGTCCAGATTTTGCCTGTGGATTCTGGTGGCAAAGGCTCTGTGGGGTCCTGTTCCGGGTCTCCATCTCGTTCTGCAGGACGGCGGTGGCAGGGGCCTGTGGCGGTTCTGGTTTAGACAAGGGTTTGACCACACTGTCCCCTGCATCTAGAGCCATGTCCCACATTTCAAGACTGTCTGCAAGGACACAGGTCACAAGCAAATGCAGCATCAACAAACGAGGTGCTGGAAAAATAACAGGTCGTGAGAAGTGCCGTATCATGAATGCTCTATACGATGGCGTTTGGAATTTCTCTTTCCCCAACCCATGAAAGTACACCAAAGCCTCTCGCAGGTCTGGACAGTAGAGGCGCTGCCTATGTGTTATCAGTCAGCACTTTCTACAAAACCAACGGAAATGAAGATATTTTATGCCTCTTTTGAAATGTATTTGTGACGACGGAAAGTATGCAGCACAGTAACTTACAGACACTTGATAGGTATTTACTGATTAGGACCGAAGCCATTCCTTTAGCCCTCCTGACCTGGAAGCACGTCTGTCTGGGTGAGCGGCTCTGAAGCAGCAGTTCCGGCAGGTGGCACCGGTGGCAGCGCTGCTGCAGAGAAAGGACAAAACCACGTAACCGAGCTGGGCCGGGGGCAGCCTTGGAAGTGCGTGCAAAGCCACCTGGGGTTACACTCGTCGGCGCGGCCAGCAGAACTCGGGACCTTGCATCCTGGTCCTACCTACAGATCTATATAAAATAGGACTGACGATACTATATTCTTTCTTCTCATCAAACTGCGAAAAAAAACCCTGAGAAGTTTGTTTCTCCTTTAGCAGAAACGGAAGAGTTATTTTAGGCCGTTTTGTCCAGTTTTTACTATTTGAAGCTATAACCCTTGTTCAATCAAAATCTTAAGCAGAAATGAATATGTAAAACCAAGATGATGACTGTGTGATTCGGGGTGGGGGAGGTCCTGGAGATGACTCCTCCTCCACCCCTGACCCCCAGAGCTTCCGCAATGGTTTGGAAGCTGAAGACCTAGAATAATAATTCTTATTAAGAACATCCCCAGCACAGTAAGTTTTTTGGGGTTTTTTCCCCTACATTAACCTCAGCCTGCCAGTACTGCTGAGGGGAATTACAAAGAACTAAACATGAAGCAAGTCCTCGGAACCTTCTTCGTAATTTTTAGGGAGAAGGTGGGCAAAAATCCACTTGGTCTTTCTTTGTTTCTAGTCTCTGAGAAAGACTCCAAGAAAATCTGTATCTACTACTCCCACTGAACCTGGACTCTGAAATAAAAAGTTAAGGGATAAAGAATTGCCAAAAACCCATTCTCTTCAAACCCAACTTTGCTTTATGTTGAGAGACAGCTCAGGGGCTTCCCTGGTGGTGCAGTGGTTAAGAATCCACCTGCCAGTGGAAGGGACATGGGTTCAAGTCCGGTCCGGGAAGATCCCACGTGCCACAGAGCAACAATGCCCGTGCGCCACAACTACTGAGCCTGCGCTCTAGAGCCCGTGAGCCACAACTACTGAGCCCACGTGCCACAACGACTGAAGCCCGTGCTCTGCAACGAGAAGCCACTGCAATGAGCCCGCACACCACAACGAAGAGTAGCCCCCGCTCACCACAACTAGAGAAAGCCCCCGTGCACAGCAACAAAGACCCAACACAGCCAAAAGTTAAAAAAATAATAATTAAAAAAAAAAAAAAGCTCAGAAAGGCTTTCTCATGTACACGTGGCCAAAGTAACTGAGGCGAAAAGAAGCTCTGTCCCCTGAGACAAATAGTTCCAGGTTATGGCAGGCCCCATCTCCTTCGCCCAAAAGACCAGTGCCTTCCTTCAGTCACGGGGAATGGTGAGGCAGGACGTGACGGTTTGAGCCCGTGGCCGCCTCTGTGCTGTATGTGGACCCGACCTGCTGCAGAGTGGGGAGAGCAGTCGCCCCCAGAGCCCGTGCTCCGTCCTCTCACCAGGACCCTGCTTCTCAGCAGGTGGGCCAGACAGGGGTTCCTGCTGCTGTTTCTCCATCTGCTCCCGGAACCGCTGCTGCAGCTGTCTTTGCCGGAGCTTCCGCTGGTACGTGGCATTGCTCTCTGTGGCAGCGGAGGTCGGGCTTCTGCATCAGGAGAGCGACAGGGAGGTGAGTTCCTGAGCTAACTGGTGAGCAGCAACACACAGCTCCCAAGGGAGCACACGGGCCAGCCAGTGTGCTGGCTCTGAAGTGAAGGCAGGAGTGGGAGGCAGGGGGAAACACCTGGGAAGGAGCAGGGGCGGGGAGGGCACGCAGCCCGCACCCGGAGCTGCTGTCCTCGTCCCCTGCATCACAACGTGGTGGCTTGGTCTGCAAGGGGACGTCACCTCCTGTGGTTTGGGGGGTCCCAGAGTCAGGTTCTGTCGGCAGCTGCTATATCTGGCTTGTTCCACAGATGGTTCAAAGTCTTGTCTCTTTGCTTTAGTTAAATCCACTTCAAGAGGCAGCTAATGAGGGAAAAAAGGGGAGAAAACTTCTTCCAACTGCTCTTCCCCTTCCTCAAGGATCTAGATACCTGAAAAATGGCATTTCACAATCCTCTATCCATCATTCCTTCTAGGTTCTAAGAAGCTGGGACAAGGGATCCATAAGTTCAAGTCATTTTAATTATATGAGGAATAAAACAATTTCATTTTCCACCTATGCCATTATGTATGAATGAAGTTTTGATAAGGAATCATACTTCAGTTTTTATTGAGGGCAAATGCTCTGTAAAATCTAATTTGAATCTTTTCTCGGCAACCAGATCTGATGCCGTCTACTTTTTTTTTAATGGAAATGATCACACATCATCACACTACAGAAACCCAGAGATTTTTCACTTGGGAGAACTTCTCTCTCAATAATATGATGCTGATAGAATAAAGGAACATGAGGGATTGAGATGACTACATTTTGGATAAAGATAACATGAAAATGAAAATTATACTGTGAGATTTCATACTGACATTGAGAAGTAAATAAACAGGGCTTCCCTGGTGGCGCAGTGGTTGAGAATCCACCTGCCAATGCAGGGGCACGGCTTCGAGCCCTGGTCCGGGAAGATCCCACATGCTGCAGAACAACTAAGCCCGTGCGCCACAACTACTGAGCCTGCGCTCTAGAGCCTGTGAGCCACGACTACTGAAGCCCGCACGCCTAGAGCCTGTGCTCCGCAAGGAGAGAAGCCACCGCAATGAGAAGCCCATGCACCGCAACAAAGAGTAGCCCCCGCTCGCTGCAACTAGAGACAGCCCGTGCGCAGCAACGAAGACCCAACACAGCCAAAAATAAATTTATTAAAACAAAAAAAAAGAACTGGACAGTCATATGCCAAAGAATTAAACTGGACCACTTACACCATACACAAAAATTAACACTGGATTAAAGACCTGAAACCGTAAAACTCCTGGAAGAAAATACAGGCAATAAGCTCCTTGACATTGGTCTTGATGGTAATTTTTTTGTATTTGACACCAAAGAGCGAAAACAACAAAAGCAAAAATAAACAAGTGGGACTGTATCAAACTAAAAAGCTGCTGACAGCAAAGGAAACAATTAACAAAGTGAAAAGGCAACCTACTGAATGGGAGAAAAAGTTTACAAATGATGTAACTGCTAAAGCATTAACATTCAAAACGTATACAGAACTCATACAACTCAAAAGCAAAACCAAACCAAAACAAAACAATCCAATTAAAAAATGGGCAGAAGATCTGCATAGATATGCTTTCAAAGAAGACATACAGATGCCCAACAGGTACATAAAAAGATACTCAACATCACTCACCATCAGGGAAATGAAAATCAAAACCACAATAAGAGAGCACCTCACACCTGTCAGAATGGCTATTATCAAAAAGACAAGAGACAACAAGTGCTGGTGAGAATGTGGAGAAAAGGGAACCCTTGTGCACTGCTGGTGGGACTGTAAACTGGCATAGCCACTATGGGAAAAACTATGGAAAACAGTTTCCTGAATAAATTAGAAACTAGAAATAATAATAATTATAATAATAAATTAGAAAACAGAACTAGCACATGATGCAGCAATTTCACTTCTCGGCATTTATCCAAAGAAAAGAGAAACAGTAACCCAGAAAGATGCGCTCCCCCATTTGCACTGCAGCGTTACTTACAGCAGCCAAGACACGGAAGCAACCTAAGTGCCCACCGATAAAGACTGTAGTATATATATCTACAACGGAACATTATTCAGGCATAAAGAGGAAAATTTTGCCACTTGCAATAACATGGATGGATCCTGAGGACAATGCGCTAAGTGAAATAATTCAGAGAGAAAAATAAATACCATATGATCTCACTTATATGTGGACTCTAAACAAACAAACAAAAACTGAGCTCATAGATAAAGAGAACAGACTGGTGGTTGCCAGGGGTGGGGAGTGGACAAAATGGGTGAAGGGAGTCAAAAGGTACAAACGTCCTGTTATAAAATAAATAAGCTCTGGGGATGTAATGTACAGCATGGTGACTATAGTCAATAACACTGTATTGTATATTTGAATGTTGCTAAAAGAATAGATCTTAATAGTTCTCATCAAAAAAAACTGCATCTACGTGTGGCGATGGATGTTAACTACACTTATTGTGGTGATCATCTTGCAATATATAAAAATACTGAATCATTATGTTGTACAACTGAAACTAATATGCAGGCATACCTCAAAGATATTGCAGGATTGGTTCCAGACCTCCACAATAAAGCAAATATAGAAATAAAGCAAGTCGCACAAGTTTTTTGGTTTCTTAGTGCATATAACAGTTGTGTTTACACTATACTGTAGTATGTTAAGTGCGCAACAGCATTATGTCAAAAAAAAGCAATGTACATACCTTAATCAAAAAATAATTTATTGCTAAAAAATGCCAACCATCACCTGACAATGCAGTTGCCACAAACCTTCAATTTGTAAAAAATGCAATTATCTGTGAAGTGCAATAAAATGAAGCACTATAAAACAAGGTATGCCTGTAATGTTGTATGTCAATTATATCTCAGTTAAAAAAAAAAAAGTCAAAGACAGAGAAATCTTGAAGACAGCAAGAGAAGAGCAAATCATCACATACTGGAGTGCCTGCCTAAGATTATCAGATTTCTCAGCAGAACTCTTACAGGCCAAAATGGAGTGGGATGATATATTCAAAGTCCTGAAAGAAGAAACTTAGCCAAGAATAGTGTATCCAGCAAAAGTATCCTTCAAAAATGGAGAAACTAAGATTTTTTTCAAATAAACAAAAGCAGAGCGAGTTCATTACCACTAGACTTGCTCTACAACAAATGCTAAAGGGAATCCTTCGAACTGAAACAAAAGGATGCCGGGCAGCAACATGAAAATAAAAAGTTCTCCAGTAAAGGTAAACACACGGGCAAAAACGGTAACCTGTATCATCATAATTTTGGTACATGGAATTTAAATGAAAAAAACCATTAAAATTATATAATGAATACAGATATTAAATGTAAAAACCATTAGAACTTTCATAACAATCTATGTTAGTGGACATACAATAATATGAAGATGTAATCTGTAACATCAATAACATAAAGTGGTGTTGTAAAGGACTAGAGTTTTTGTATGCAATTCAAGTTACCAGTTTAAAATAGAATGTTATAACTTTAAAATGTTTCATATAATTGCAATGGTAACCACAAAGAAAATATCTATAGGATATACACAAAAGTAAACAAGAAGGGAATCAAATCATGTTACTACCAAAAGAATCAACACAACACAAAGGACAGCAGTAAGAGGAAAGAAGGGACAAAAAAAAAAGCTAAGCTACAGGACATACAGAAAACGATTAACAAAATAATACTAAGCCCTCCCCTATCAATACTAAATGTAAATGGATCAAACTCCCCAACCAAAAGCCATAGATTGGCTGGATGGATTCAAAAAACAAGATACAACTACATACTTCCTACATTAGACTCACTTCAGATCTAAAGACATAACACAGGCTGAAGGTGAAAGGATGGAAAGAGATACTCCATGTAAATGGTAACCAAAAGGGAGCAGGGGAGGCTATACTAATATAAGAAAGAATAGACTTTAAGTCAAAAACTGTTACAAGAGACAAAAGAGGACATTCTATAATAATAAAAGGGTCAATTAACTGTGAAGCTATAACAATTATAAATACTTATATACCAAACATCAGAGCTCCTAAATATGTAAAGCAAACTTTGACAGATTTGAAAGGAGAAATACACAGCAAGACAGTAATAGCAGAAGACTTCAGTACCCTGCTTTCAGTAATGGATAGAACCAAACAGAAGGTCAATAAGGAAACAGAAGATTTGAACACTACACACCATATGGACCTAAGACATATAGAGAATATTCCACCCAACAACAGCAGAATATACATTCTCCTCAAGTACAAATGGAACATTCTCCAGGAGAGACCACATGTTAGGCTACAAAACAAGTCTTAAATTGAAGAAGACAGAAATTATACCAAAAAAATCTCTGCTGATCACAATGGAATGAAACTGGAAATCAATGGCAGAAGGAAAAATGGAAAATTCACAAACGTGGAAATTAGTACTTTCTTAAGACAACCAATGGGTCAAATAAATCACAAGGGAAATTAGAAAATATCTTGAGACAAATGAAAATGTTGAAAACACAGCACACCAAAACTTACATATGCAGCAAAAGCAGTACTAACAGGGAAGTTTCTAGCTGACACAAGCTAGGAGAAGATAGGAAATAAAGCTTAGGGCAGGGCTTCCCCGGTGGCACAGTGGTTGAGAGTCCGCCTGCTGATGCAGGGGACACGGGTTCACACCCCGGTCCAAGAAGATCCCACATGCCGCGGAGCGGCTGGGCCTGTGAGCCATGGCCGCTGAGCCTGCGCGTCCGGAGCCTGTGCCCCGCAACGGGAGAGGCCACAACAGTGAGAGGCCCACGTACCGGAAAAAAAAAAAAAAATTATGAGAATACTATGAACAACTGTACACCAACAAATCAGAGAGCCTAGAAGAAATGGATACATTCCTAAAACACACAAGCTACCAAGACTGAATCATGAAGAAACAGAAATAGACCAGTAACTAGCAGAAGAGTGTATTAGTAAACAAAAACCTAACAACAACAACAACAACAAAAAGCCCAGGACTAAATGGCTTCACTGGAAAATTCTACCAAACATTTAAAGAATTAACACCAACCGTCAAACCCTTCCAAAACACTGAAAAGGAGGGAACACTTCCAAGTTCATTCTAAGAGGCCAGCATTATTCTGATACCAAAGCCAGGCAAAAACACTATAAGAGGAGGGTGGAAAAAAAGACACTACAAGAAAACTATAGACCAATATCCCTGATGCATATTGATGCAAAAATCCTCAATGAAATACCGGCTCACCAAATTTAACAGCACGTTAAAAGTATTATACACCATGACCAAGAGAGGTTTATTCTTGAAATGCAAAGATGGTTCGACATACACAAATCAATCAATGTGATCCATGAACAAAACCACCTGTTCATCTAAACTGATGCAAAAAAAAAAAGTCTGACAAGATTCGATATTTTTTTCATGATAAAAACATTCAACAATTAGGAATAGAAGGAAACAACCTCAACATAATAAAGGCCATATATGAAAAGCCTACAGTTAACATCATACTCAATGGTGAAGACTGAAAGCTTTTCCTGGAAGATCAGGAATAAGGCAAGGATGCCCACTCTCACTACTTCTTAACATATTGGAAGTCCTAGCCAGAGCAATTAGGCAAGGAAAAGAAATAAAAGGAATTCAAATTGGAAAGGAAGAAGTAAAATTATCTCTGGTTGCAGATTAGTTGATCTTCTATGTAGAAAACCCTAAAGACTCAACAAAAAAAACTGTCAGAATTAATAAACAAATTCAGCAAAGTTTCAGGATACAAAATCCACATAAATAACAGCTGTGTCTCTACACACTAATAATGAACAATCAAAAAGTTGAGACAACAATTCCATTTACAATAGCATCAGAAAGAATAAAATACTTAGGAATAAACCTAACCAAGGTGAAAGACTTGTACACTGAAAACTATGAAACACTGCTGAAAGAAATTAAAGAAGGCACAAATAGATGGAAAGACTTCCCATGTTCATGAACTGGAAGACTTAATATTGTTAAGATATGCATACTACCAAAGTGATCTACAGATTCAGTGTAATCCCTATCAAAATTCCAATGGCATTTTTTGCATAAATAAAAAAATTCACCTTAAAATTTATAAAGAATCTCAAGGGACCTCAAATAGCAAAAATAATTTTAAAAAAAAAAAATTGGAGGACCTCCTGATTTCCAAACATATTACAAAGCTTCAATAATCAAAACAGTATGATACTGCCATAAAGACAGGTGCGTAGGTCAATGTAATAATACAGAAAGCCCAGAGATGAATCCTCATGTATGGCCAAATGATCTTCAGCAAGTGTGCCAAGACTACACAATGGGGAAAGGAGTCTCTTCAACAAATGATGTTGGAAAAACTGAATATCCACATGCAAAAGAATGAAGTTAGACCTGTATCTTACATCATATACAAAAATAAATTCAAGATAGATTAAATACCTAAATATAAGACCCAAAACTATAAAACTCAAAGAAGAAAACACAGGGGAAACACTTCATGACATTGAATTTGGCAATGATTTCTTGGATGTGACACCAAAGTACAGGCAACAAAAAAAGCAAAAATATACAAATGGAGCTATATCAAACTTAAAAGGCAAGCTATGGAATGGGAAAAAACTTTGCAATCATATCTCTGATAAGGAGTTAATAGCCAGAATATATAAAGAACTCCTACAGCTTGACAACAAATAAATCAAATAGCCCAATTACAAAATGGGCAAAGAACCTGAGTAGACATTTCTCCAAAGATGATACACAAATGGGCAATAAGCACATGAAAAGATGTTCAACATCACTAACCATCAGAAAAATTCAAATCACACCCATTAGGATGGCTACTACCGAAAAACAGAAAATGGGGGCTTCCCCGGTGGCGCCGTGGTGGAGAGTCCGCCTGCTGATGCAGGGGACGCGGGTTCGTGCCCCGGTCCGGGAAGATCCCACATGCTGCGAAGCAGCTAGGCCCGTGAGCCATGGCCGCTGAGCCTGCGCGTCCGGAGCCTGTGCTCTGCAACAGGAGAGGCAACAACAGTGACAGGCCCACGTACCACAAAAAAAAAAAAAAAAAAGGTTAAAATGGTAAATTTCATGTTATGTGTTTTTTACCACAATGTTTTAAAAACGGAAAAAAAATACAATATCCCTCATAAATATAGATGCAGAAATCCTTAACAAAATATTAGCAAACTGAGTCCAATTATATGTAAAAAGGATTTAGAAAAAGGACAGAAATGGAGTTTTTTTGTTTTTTGCAGGACGCGGGCTTCTCACTGTTGTGGCCTCTCGTGTTGCGGAGCACAGGCTCCGGACGTGCAGGCTCAGCGGCCATGGCTCACGGGCCCCGCTCCGCAGCATGTGGGATCTTCCCGGACCGGGGCACAAACCTGTGTCCCCTGCATTGGCAGGCGGACTCTCAACCACTGCACCAGCAGGGAAGCCCCAAGAAATGGAGTTTTGACAGCTGCCAACTGACACACACCTCTATTACGGGCAGCACAAGAAAAAGAACCCCTCAAGTACCAGAGAGGGAAGGCTGCCCAGGGTGGCGGCACTGCAGGGACCCAAAGAACCACAGGTGAAGCAGCCACACTCCACCAGGCAACAGGAATGCTCCGGAGCCTGACTGGCCCAGGCACGCTAAACTCCAGACCCCATTCTCCGAAGGCAAACGCGCAGATCACATGACACGCAACTACAGAAACAAGGGAGATCTAAACCTTAAAGACACCCGAGCTAAGGAAGAGCAGGAAGGTTGAACACGTGAGGCTCTGAGTGTTTGTAAGAAATGGCAGTGCTGCAAGGGATCTGTGCTCCTTCTGTCTCACAGACCACTGCCAAGCACGGTTCTCTCTACATAAGAGACAAGTAACACAAATGCTCCAGGCTTCAATTTCCTCATTGGTACATTAAGGTAATTGGTTCCTGCTGGCTCTTGTGTTCAAAGACGTCTGAAACACATTCCAGACCCTCTAAATAGCCAAGTCTTCACCTTTTCTCTCTCCGTCACCAACTCACTCGTGACACAGAAGCATCATCAGTTACTGCGCCTTTACTGCGACGCATTCCACCCCCCACTTGCAACATACCTGGTGTGGGAGCTTGTTTAGCGACCTCAGGTAGTCTTTGTCCAGAATACAATTCCCAAGTGCATTCCCGAAACTTCTACGGGTAAGAAAAGAGGGGAACGGGGTTGAGAACGTTATATGTGAATATCAGAGAACAGAGCTACAGCCTTTGTACAAGCTGCTTCTCAACACAGCAGACGAGATGGACTCTGATAAGCATTCAGAACTGTTCATTACGCATGTGCATTAGGCGCTGAGAATACAGCAGTGAGCACAGCAGTCACAACCCCACCCGCAGGAGGGGCAGTGGGCACAGAAAGCCTGAGCAAGCGCTCACAAAATCGCACCAGCTATACCTCCCAACGCAGAACACGAATTCCACAGCAGAGAATGTTTCCCAAGGACTGCTCCAATTCCCCAGTAATAGTGAGCATGCACACTTTAGGGGCACAGACCTCCACGACCAAAGTTCTTTACTTGGGACATCTGGATGCCCCCACAGGTTATGGTGTTGCAAATTTTTAGTGCATGTTTTACATGTATTTTTCTGGTAATTCAATTCTCAAAGGCATCTATGACCCCAAAAAGGGTTAAAAACCCTGCTCTATGAAACTAAGTTAACTATGTTACATATACATAATGAAGAACTGTGTAGGTATATTAAAGAGAATGAGGAAACAATCTATGTGCTGTGTGGACAGGTCTCCAAGACACACAGCTGATGAGAGGGGTGGGGAAGGCAAGGTCAAGTACAGAACAGAGAACACAGGATTCTACTACTTATTCCCCAAAAAGTGGGCCCTCAGCATAAAGAAGCACTGGGGAAAGACAGAAGAGAGCAGGAAAACAGGCTGCACAGGGTCAAGGGTGGGAGGAAGACTTGTGTTATTTCGACTTCTGAACCACGTGGGTGTTACAACCCAGAGCTGAGAAGAACAGGATCTGCCTACCTCAGTGCTCGCTTCAGCCCATCGGTCACTGCCTCCTTCCTCGCCTTTTCCAAAGACAAGGCTTTGGACTTGAGGCCCTCGCTAACACCATAGCCCACGTCCTCATGATACGAACCATCCTGGGGACAGAAAAGGAGTTCAGGGTCCAACGTGAGGAGCTGCAGCCCCGTCCCTGGCTGCAGAGCTCTCCTCTTCCTCAAGCATCAGTGTTCAGACTGGTTGGACAGAGCCCAGGGCCTGGAACACAGGTGGAGTTGCCAGAGTCCATTTCCAGGGCTACTTCCTGGACCGGATCTGCCTAGAGATGTGCCTATGCTCCAAGTGCAAGACAATTCTCCTTCCTCTTCACATAACTAGGCACACACCTGACCCGCCCCACATCTTACTAAGACACATTACCCACACTATGAAAACCTCTGGGGCACCAAACCAAAAATTTGAGATATTATATTTAACAGATTCTAATGACTGGATAGCAAATCCTCTCACAAGTCAGGTGGCACCTGTTTCTCGGCTTCTACCAAAAGTAAAGGTGGGCCTGATCAAGCTGTTAGCTGACAGAGAGCTGAGTATAATGTTTGATGATAGCATTGTGATTTCTGATATATAACTCACAAGTAGTCAAAGAAATGAATGACACTGTAACGAAACTCGTTCATTCTCAGTTTGTTTATGTGAATAAGGTTTTCGGTAGTATTTATAAAAATAAGTCAGAATAGAATTAATGCTAAATGTTTAGTCTAGGAATAAGTAATATTAACTATGGATATACAAACTAACTGAATAGAAAAAAACAGCTCATCCATCTTATCAAGAAATGCATTTTCCATAAAATTTTATTAAATATAAATATTTTGATGTAGTTATGTTGTCTCTTCAACATAAACACAACTGACTAAATTGTGTATTAATAGCACCTGTAATATCAATAGTAACTCAATCCAGAAGAAATTTCTCAATAGTTAGAGCCTTAAAATCACTGGAAACTTATCCCCTAAAATTTTTACACACACACACACACACACACAAGTATAATAAGGTTATCATTAATAAAAGATTTTCAATCATATATCTTATATTAGGATAAAAGCCAGAGGGGAAGTGGAATGGAAATACGTGTTCAAGAAGGAACAACGTAAGATATCTGATGACCAAAGAATAACTTGCTCAAAAAAAAGAAAAACAGGGACTTCCCTGGTGGTCCAGTGGTTAAGGCTCCGTGCTCCCAATGCAGGGGGCCCAAGTTCAGTCCCTGGTTGGGGAACTAGATCCTGCATGCCACAGCTAAAGACCCTGCACACCACAACTAAGACCCAGTGCAACCAAATAAATAAATAAATATTTAAAAAGAAAGAAAGAAAGGAAAAGAAAAACAGCTTGCGCATGTATTATTTTTAAATGGATGACAGCACTTAATCCTCTGTGGTATTTAGAATACATTGGTACGTGTTAAAAAGATGTAACAGATTTATTTTAGAATGTAAAATTTTACAATATGCCAAAACATACGCCCTTACAACTGTTTATATATATGGTGAAAACTGAGTCAACTTAAAAACGTGCAAGAGAACAGAGTTCCTCAAAATTCTCTTAGGGGCACATGAGGGAGGATGTCTGAACAACCCCACCCCCTCTCTGGGCCCCGAGGCCTCCGTACCTGCTCACTCTCCCACCTGCCCCGTGCCTGCAGGCAGCACGTCCCCTCCATCACCCTCACCTTCAGCTGGACTCTCACAAACGCACAGACGCCCACGTAGAACTTGCCATTGTTAAGGTCAACAAAATCTAGGAGTGGGAAAGAGAACCAGTTGAAGAGGATACTGATCCCTGTGCCTCACCTGTATTCCTCCTGCTGGCGACTGAGCACACCTTCCCTAGGTCCTTGCCTACAAAACACTCCTGCCAGAAGTCAGCCAATGCCGAGGAAGGGAAACGAAGAAGCAGCCACTGCCAGGAAGCATACTCACCCACGTTCTGTTGTGTGATAGAGTGTGCCCAGCCATTGTAGCCAAACATCTCATTGGCCAGATTAATTACCCTGTGACCCTCGATGTAACACACCTGGAAAAAAAATGTTAAGAAGAAAAAAAAAACTTGTTAAAATTCCTTGCCATACTTAAATGTGGATCAAAATTTACTTAATCTGGGCTTCCCTGGTGGCGCAGTGGTCGAGAGTCCGCCTGCCAATGCAGGGGATGCGGGTTCGTGCCCCGGTCCGGAAAGATCCCACGTGCCGCGGAGCTGCTGGGCCCGTGAGCCATGGCCGCTGAGCCTGCGCGTCCGGAGCCTCTGCTCCGCAACGGGAGAGGCCACAACAGTGAGAGGCCCGCGTACCGCAAAAAAAAAAAAAAAAAAATTAATTTATTCCTTACCAGCTCTTTTGGCAAAAGCACCCTTAAACATTCCAGAGAATTTCTCAGTGAACTTAGTTCAAAGATCTTCCAGAGGAGCCAGTTAGAACTAGTGTCTTGGGCCACTGCTGATGACAGTGAGGGCTGGAACCCATCCCCGCCGAAAGACACAAATAAACGTCCACTAACAGTGAATGAGAGGCCTTCTGAATCCATGAGGACCAGAGAGGGAGTTGGCAAGTTCATGGGAATAGTCGGCGTTGTGGGTGCCCACTTTTCAAGCACGTAAACTCTCTCACCTTCTGGCCTCCTCCAGCCACGCGGCTACTTATGTATTCTGGGCCCAGCCTCTGCCTCAGAGCATTCTGGATGGCCTGGTACTCTTCTGCTGTGTATTGGTACTGTAATCCACAAAGGGAAAATTAAACTGACATTTCCACCATTGCTTATCAGCAAGTCCCCAACTTTTTGGTCTCCAGACCCCTTAACACTCTTCAAAAGTACTGAGGGTCCTATGAGCTTTTGTTTATGTGGGTTATAGCTATCAGTACTAGGAATTAAAAATGAGAAACTGCAGGCACACATTCCAGTAGCCATCAGAGCAATGGTGTCAGCACATGCTATGCGCTCTCTGGAAAGCACCCACTCACGAAGGAAGGAGAGTGAAAAAGGCACAGAGTACTTTAGTATTATTATGAAAATAATTTTGATTTCACAGACTCTGAAAGGTCTTGTGGACCCCCAGGGGTCACTGGACCACATTTTGAAAACCACTGCCTTAGATGTTACCAATATGTTACCATCCCTACAAAACTTTCTCGAGCCAGAACTGGGAAACTGAAACTTCCCTCCTCGGAGTCTATATGACATGTATGTAGGCAAGGGAGCAGGAGAGGAGAAAACATGACAGGAAGCCCTGCTTCCATTTGTCCTCTTCTCTAGTTCAACAATTTTCCATCCTACACATAGAGAAATATACTCCTACTTGTTTAGATTTTCATCCCCTCAATACTCTTCCCCTTGCCCTGAATAAATACACACAAATAGATTTCTGGTAAGACAAAGACAGAATTTGGGGGGACAAAGCAAGAATCTCCCTTATATGCACAGAATATCTCCACAAAGAGTACAACACCAGAAACTTTGGATGCCTCCAAAAAAGAGATCTGGGTGACAGACATGTGGACAAGAGTGATAGGAAATAGTGAGACTTTTTACATACAGTCTGTTTCATTTTGAATGTTACAGCATATGAAAATGTAATCTGTCCAAAAAATAAATAAAATTTAAATCTAAATGTAACCCCCAGTGCTGCTAAAGTTCCAAAATGCCCTCAGAGCTTGTCAAAGACTCCCAAATGATGCACTTAAATGAAAAAAAAAAAAAGTTTACATGTATATGATGGTGCTCTACCAATGGCTTCCCCATACCTTTTTCACTCAACCTCATTCCTTCCAGGTATGAAAAAAACACATGTACCTGACCAAAGCATAATACAGAGTTGCCACCAGCAGGATGGCTGTCACGGCCGCTAAGAATTGCTTCTTCAGTCCCAGACATGTTGATCCAGGTTGACCTCTAAATAAAAAGAAGATTAAAAAAATGATCTCAAAGAATGCTAGTGGTAAAAGGCAAGAGCCTCTACTAAAAATCAGATGAAGTAACTTTCCTTGCATACTTTAAACACTGACCCAGTCAAGGGCCAAGTTCCTCAGTGCTTAGCTATCACCTAACAAACGACTTAAAATCCTTTAGGGTCTGCTTCTACCTTTCTGCTAAAATTTTGCTAGCGTGGTGGTGCTATTAAAGGTGATTTTTACAATAAGAATGTATTGTATGTTATAATTACAATGTTCGTAATTGAAAAAGTCAGAATTACAAAAGCGTGCTAGGGGAGATTACGACCACCTGCTATATGGGCATCATGACCCTGACCTCTGTGGGGTTGAAGAGGAAACAGAGGCCACGGTAGCTGAACTGCTGTCGCGGAGCCAACACGCCAGCAGGCGGGAGTGTAACAGACACGACGCGATGGAAGAGCCAGATGGCACAGAAGACCCCGTGTTCAGAAAGGGTACAGCATTAAACCATTAGTAGTCCCTGCAGTTTATCGCCTGGGACCTTGTTACAGACGCACATTCTCAGGCCCCACCTCAGACCCACTGAATCCAAAACCAGAGGTGAGGCCCATGTATGAGTGCTGGGCCAAGCCCACCCCGTGATCCTGACACAAGCTCCAGTTTGAGAGCCACTGCATTAGACTGAGACCACGCAAGTGTGCAGTCTATTAGAAAAGAGAATTACCCTCAGAAAAAGCAGCTGCAGATGGCTGACCCGCTACCTGAGTGCCCCACCCGCTGCAGACCCTAGGAAGTTGGGCCTCAGCACATCTGCATGCTGTACGTCTTCAGCTTGCTCACTCACAGTAGGACCACAAATCTATGAGCGTCAACCAGTATGACTCCCCACGCAGCGCTCCAAGACGGTGTTTAAGAGCTGACATTCCAAGTGGTGATTTCTGGCTCCATCACCCACGAGGTCTTGACCAAGAGAAAAATCACATCATCTCTCTAAATGACGTTTCACCATCTAGAAAATGGAGATAACAACAGTATCTACATTTCCTAGGGGTTCTGTAAAGATTAAATGAGAAACTGCATAAAAACTGCATTAATGCAACTAGAGATTATCATACTAAATGAAATTAAGTCAGAAAGAGAAAAATAAATATCATATGGTATCACTTATCTGTAGAATCTAAAATATGACACAAATGAACCTATCTACAAAACAGAAACAGAAACACAGACATAGAGAACAGACTGGTGGTTGCCAAGGGGGAGAAGCTTGGGGGAGGGATGGAATCGGAGGTTGGGGTGAGCAGATGTAGGCTTTTATATATAGAGCGGATCAACAACAAGGGCCTACTGTACAGCAGAGAACTACATTCAATATCCTATGAGAAACCATAATGGAAAAGAATATAAAAAAAAGAATGTGTGTGTGTGTGTATATATATAAAACCGAATCACCTTGCTGTACAGCAGTAATTAACACAACGTTGTAAATCAACTATACTTCAACTTAAAAAAACACTACATCAGAAGAGTGCCTGGCACGTGTGAAATACTAAATAAATGTTAGTTATTGCTAAGTTCTTGTTAACTTTCTTACATACATTATGATGGAAATGCAGAAAACTAAATGATCATACAACATTACCTTTCGGCTAAGAAATGGTAAATTTATTTATAATCTTGCACTAAAAAGTAGGATAGTGGCCTATACTAGGTTAGTCAATAGTGTCTAAAATTGTTAAATCAAGAAATAGTGGAATGAGGACATTACTTAGAACTATAAATGCCAGAAAAGACAAGTAAAAGAAAAAAACAGCTCTTAGGAGTGGTGCTGGCGTGAAGAACAGTGCAGCAGGGCTCGCCTTTCTAAAAATAAAACTTTTAGTGCTATTTCCTTTTCAAATATGTGCATGTGTTATTTTAATAAAAATAAAAACTTAAATGCCTGTTCCATAAAGCAGGGGTCAGCAAACTTTTTCCATAAAGGGCCAGAGAGTAAATATGTTAGGTGTTGCAGGTTATATGGTCTCTGTCACTACTTCACTTTGGCATTTTAGCGTGAAAGTAGCCATAGACAATACATAAATGAATGGGCGTGGCTGTGTCCCAATAAAACTTTATTACACAAATGAACTTATTTACAAAACAGAAAGAGACTCACAGACTTAGAAAACAAACTTATGGTTACCAGGGAGGAAGGCCGGCGGGGAGGGACAGATTGGGAGTTTGGGACTGACATATACACACGGCTATATTTAAAATGGATAACCAACAACGACCTAAAGTATAGCACAGGGAACACTGCCCAATATTCAGTGATAACCTAAATGGGAAAAGAAATTGAAAAAGAATAAATACATGTATAACTGAATCATTCTGCTGTACACCTGAGACGAACACAACATTGTTCATCAACTATACTCCAATATAAAATAAGAATTTAGGGACTTCCCTGATGGTCCAGTGGTTAAGACTCGGTGCTTCCACTACAGGAGACATGGGTTCAATCCCTGGTCAGGGAACTAAGATCCTGCATGCCACATGGCATGGCCAAAAATAAATAAATAAAATAAAAACTAAGAAATAAACAAAAACTTTATTACAAAAAGAGGTGGCAGATTTGACCCATAGGTCACGGAGTGGGATACTAAAAAGTTGTAGGTGAACAGGATGTTCACAAAGTTTCAAATGAGAGCCTATCTGGTTATCTGTTAAAAACAAGGGTATACACTGCAAATGTACTAATGCCACTGAACTGCATGCTTAAAAATGGTTAAAATGATAAATTTTACATTATGTACATTTTACCACAATTTTAAAAAAGGAGGGGAATAGCTTAACACAGAAAAGATTTCTATCTTACTCATGAAAGATTTAATACAGTCTGGCGGCCCTGTCCATCTTATAGCTATGCCGTCTGGCATGTGTGACTCCTGAGGTCATCACTGCAGGGGTAGGCAGAGCTGGAGCAGTCACACCAGCTCATAGCTGCCTTAGCTGTGACATGCATCACTCTGGTCACAGTTCCCTAGACAGAACTAGTCACACGGCCCCAGAGGCTGGGAAATGTAAGAAGGCATTTAAATATTTGGTGAGTACTGTCTCTACCACATCCATTTCTCCCCACTCCAGTATGAGCCCCTAGAAGGTGGGGGGTTCTTCCTGACTCTCTGTGGCACCCCCAGGGCCTAGCACAGTACCTTGCTCATAGTAGGTGGTCAGGAAGGGGAGTGTCTGAATATTAAATGAACAGATACACCAGTGAATGACAGAAATACACAATGCAGGATATATAGACAAAGTATATTTAATTCTAGAAACTAATTTTATAAGGCAGCAGTTACACTTCTCACATTTAAAAGGCAATTTGTTTCTACTTTTCTAAACAATCTTATAAGATTCAATATATTGAAAAAAGGACAACTAGTCTCTGTCTATAGACTAAAACATGAAATTATTCTTTTTTTAAAAATGTTTATTTATTTATTTTTGGCCACGTTGGGTCTTTGTTGCTGCGCGCAAGCTTTTCTCTAGCTGCAGCGAGCGGAGGCTACTCTTCGTTGCAGTGCGCGGGCTTCTCATTGCGGTGGCTTCTCTTGCTGTGGAGCACGGGCTCTTGGCACGCAGGTTTCAGTAGTTGTGACTCACAGGCTCTAGAGCGCAGGCTCAGTAGTTGTGGCGCATGGGCTTAGTTGCTCCATGGCATGTGGGATCTTCCTGGACCAGGGCTTGAACCCATGTCCCCTGCATTGGCAGGTGGATTCTTAACCACTGCGCCACCAGGGAAGCCCTGGAATTATTCTTTTTGCCAGTTTTAACTTTGGAAAAAACGCTTACTGTTCCGCCTCCCTTTCTAAAACTGTCCACAAACCATTTTCCTGTTATAAAATTAAAATGTCTTTATTGTAGAAAGCTTTAAACATATCAAAAATATGGGAAGAAGTAAAATGTGGCTGGATTCCCACCAGCAACAGATAGCTGTTATCCTCTTCACATATGACTGTGCTTGTGTATGTGTGTTTTATGTGTATGTACATGCGTATCTGTTAAACCAAAGTAGATTCCCAATGTATCAGGCATATCTTATGCAGGACCTCAAGTCTTGGCCCTGCCTGTCTCTGAGGCCTCAGACCACTGTCTCCACCCTGGCTGCCATTAGGAGGACCACATACGCGAGGGTCCCGACCAGCAGCACACGGGCACAACCCTACGGCCCCTACTTCCTGCTCACAGGGATGCCTCTTACCTCCCACCCTTGGCCTCGCTCCTGCATTTGAGGTGTGAGAACCCGTGGGACCCACCTGATGCCCACACGTGCACAACCTGCACACCTGGTGGAGCTGAGGTGCCACGGGGCAAACCTTCTACCAGGGAGACAAAGGCGCTGAGGAGTAGATCCTCTCCTCTCCTCATTTAGGAGGCTGTCCTGGGGTGTGGCACCTTATACCTCCTCCAGGGAGACAGCTTAAGGAAACCAAGCAATCAGCTGTCCTTGTTACCAAGGGGTGGCCAGCCTGGAAATGCACGCTTGAACTGACTTCGTCTCCATCTCTCCTCAATCCCCTTCTCCTTCACTTCTGCTTCCTGGAATTGCACTTCCTAAAAAAATAATACCACATAAGCTTTTGCCTCAAGCTCTAGGTCCCGGGGTCCCCAGGCCTAGCCGACACTAGGGGCGCTGTGCTAACTGTCCCATCAGCTCTCACCGCAACAGCACACGCCCAGCCTAACTTCCACACGCCAACACCTGCATCTCTACCTGGGGGCTTGCTTGGCATCGGGCCCATTCTGCACCTGTTCAGGGTAAGCCGCAAGTACCAGAGAACGGATGCCCCTGGGAGCAGCCCTCAGTGACTGACTAAAGTTTAAAGGAACTGGCTAAAGTTTAAAGACCCTAGATTTCTCACCCCTTCTGTGGGATAAGCTAAGCCGTGAGTTCTGCGCTGGCTCCAGGCTCCTGGTGGAATCAGCTTGGGTTGCACCCTTTGTTGACTGCCTTTTCTGTCCCTTCTCACTGCCTCTCTGTTCTCCCAGTATGTCCTGAGGTCAGTCCCCAAATAAACTACTTGCACTTGGAGAAAAAATGGAGAGGGGCAAAAGACACCCTCACAATGGAGAAATCTGGCAGCCACCTTGACCAAGCAGTCAAACATAATAATATCACCAACATCTCTACCAATCTAATCGTGGCTCTAATCATGAGGACATCATCAGACAAGCTGACATCTACCAGGCCTGAACTCTTCAGAAATATCAGTGCCTCAAAAAACAAAACAAAGCAAAACAAAAAGGACAGTGAACTCTTCTAGGTTAAAGGAGACTAAAGAGACAGGACGACACACTGTGTGACCCTTTATAGGATTTTAGATCAGAAAAAAAAAAATCTGTGAAGGATATGACTAAGGCAGTGGAGGAAGTCTGACGATGAACTGCACTCTGGACAATGGTCCTGTGTCACTGCTACAGGTCCTGAGTGTGATAACTATCACGGTCATATAGGAGGATGAACTTGTTACTAGGAGACACATGACGAGGCATTAGAATAAACTGTCATGTTTTCCGCAACTTACTCTCAAATCATTCAACTAATAAAATGTGTGCATGTGTAAAGACAGGGAGAGAAAGAGATTAAAGTAACAAACCTATGAATCTAGGTGAAGGATATGCAGGCATTCATTGTATAACTTTCCTAGAGGCTTCAAATTTTTCAAAATAAAATGTTAGGAAAGAAAAAAAAATGTTAGGAAAGACTTCCTGATAGCCAAAGTTATGGCAGCTACATAAATCTAAATATCCCAATACATCTGCCAAAAACTATATGCACCAACAAAAGGAACAGATAAAAACCACAAATATCCTGTATCTCCTAACACAATTAGAAGACTGAAAATGGAAGTTTCAAATTGCCTAGAAGTAAAAAAATATATATATCAATTTCTGGTGGAGATAATTCTTGAACTCTCATCTCGACTTTTTGAGAAGAGCAAGGTGGGACCCAGATGGGAAGAGAAATGCATAGAAGGGAGAAGAGGAGGATGGAGAGCCCAAGATAGAACTAAAATCACTCCCGGAAAATGAAGACCCACACTAAGCATGAAGATACCGACGAAACATTCTGGGAGATGAGTGCAGCCTATGGAGAAAGAGACAAGTGTATGTACAACTCGGTGAGGCAGAACTGGCAAGGCGGGGCTTCTGAGAAGAAGGAAAAAGGAATGACGGATGCCCTTTGAGACTGTCCTGTGAAGGGCAAAAAGGGGGAAATTCAGGATCCTATAAGACAAGAGAACATTTAAAAGTCAAAGGATATATAACCATCTCCCCCCAAATGCCTTCTAATAAAGAAACATACTCACTACACTTACAAAAGAATAAGGGGACTTCCCTGGTGGCTCAGTGGTTAAGAATCCTCCTGCCAATGCAGGGGACATGGGTTCGATCTCTGGTCCGGGAAGATCACACATGCCGCGGAGCAACTAAGCCCGTGCACCACAACTACTGAGCCTGCACTGTAGAGCACACAAGCCACAACTACTGAGCCCGAGAGCCACAACTACTGAAGCCCACACCCCTAGAGCCCGTGCGCCACAAAGAGAAGCCACCGCAAAGAGAAGCCCGTGCACCGCAACGAAGAGTAGCCCCTGCTTGCCACCACTAGAGAGAAAGCCAGGGCCCAGCAACGAAAACCCAACGCAGCCAAAAAATAAATAAATAATAAAATTACTAAAAAAATAGGAAATACTCGAAGTATAAATCTTGTAAATCACCCCAAACTGTCAATCCTGTTCACAAAATGCAAAATTAGATATAAAAAAGAACTTAAGATAGCTCAATAGTGAACTTCAGATACTTCAAAAGACCCTAACACCACACACAAAAATAAGCTCAAAATGGATTAAAGACCTAAATGTAAGGCCAGAAACTATTAAACTCTTAGAGGAAAACATAGGCAGAACACTGTATGACATAAATCACAGAAAGATCCTTTTTGACCCACCTCCTAGAGAAATGGAAATAAAAACAAAAATAAACAAATGGGACCTAATGAAACTTCAAAGCTTTTGCACAGCAAAGGAAACCATAAACAAGACCAAAAGACAACCCTCAGAATGGGAGAAAATATTTGCAAATGAAGCAACTGACAAAGGATTAATCTCCAAAATTTACAAGCAGCTCATGCAGCTCAATAACAAAAAAACAAAAACCCAATCCAAAAATGGGCAGAAGACCTAAATAGACATTTCTCCAAAGAAGATATACAGACTGCCAACAGACACATGAAAGAATGCTCAACATCATTAATCATTAGAGAAATGCAAATTAAAACTACAATGAGATATCATCTCACACCAGTAAGAATGGCCATCATCAAAAAATCTAGAAACAATAAATGCTGGAGAGGGTGTGGAGAAAAGGGAGCACTCTTGCACTGCTGGTGGGAATGTGAATTGGTTCAGCCACTATGGAGAACAGTATGGAGGTTCCTTAAAAAACTACAAATAGAACTACCATATGACCCAGCAATCCCACTACTGGGCATATACCCTGAGAAAACCAAAATTCGAAGAGTCATGTACCAAAATGTTCATTGCAGCTCTATTTACAATAGCCCGGAGATGGAAACAACCTAAGTGCCCATCATTGGATGAATGGATAAAGAAGATGTGGCACATATATACAATGGAATATTACTCAGCCATAAAAAGAAACGAAACTGAGCTATTTGTAATGAGGTGGATAGACCTAGAGTCTGTCATACAGAGTGAAGTAAGTCAGAAAGAAAAAGACAAATACCGTATGCTAACACACATATATGGAATTTAAGAAAAAAAAATGTCATGAAGAACCTAGGGGTAAGACAGGAATAAAGACACAGACCTACTGGAGAACAGACTTGAGGATATGGGGAGGGGGAAGGGTGAGCTGTGACAGGGCGAGAGAGAGGCATGGACATATATACACTAACAAACGTAAGGTAGATAGCTAGTGGGAAGCAGCCGCATGGCACAGGGATATCGGCTCGGTGCTTTGTGACCGCCTGGAGGGGTGGGATAGGGAGGGTGGGAGGGAGGGAGACGCAAGAGGGAAGAGATACGGGAACATATGTATATGTATAACTGATTCACTTTGCTATAAAGCAGAAACTAACACACCATATAAAGCATATAAAATTGCTTTACATGTCCATTGTAAAGCAATTATACCCCAATAAAGATGTTAAAAAAAAAGATACTTCAAAAGAAATTAAATAATCTGAAGAAGAAGAAAAAAGAAAAGATTGAAAATAACAAAGGAGCCTCAGGGTCCTGGGGGAAAACATCAAAATGGCTAACACATATAATCAAAGTCCCAAACGAAAAGGTTAAAGAGAACAGGGATAAAAATTTTTTTTAAATAATGGCTCAAATTTTCCCAAATTGGGTGAAAGGCATAAGTTTATAGATTTAGGAAGATCTGCAAATCTCAAAGCAGGATAAACACAAAGGAAATCACACTTAGGTACACCACAGGCAAAATGCTAAAAACCAAAAATAAAGAGAAAACCTTAAAAGCAGTCAGAAAAAAATGGCACACTGTCTACAGAGTAACAATGTGAATGATAGCTCCACTGTGAGTTAAAAAAAACATACTTAGGAGTAATTTTAATGAACAATGCATAAGACCTCTTCAAAGTATAAAATAGTACCAGAAGAAATTAAAGACCTAAATTAAACAGGAGATGCACCACGTTCATACATTTGAAGACTCTATGCCGTTAATATGTAAATTCTTCCCAAATTGATCTAAAGATTCAATGCCATTGCAATCATAATCCCACGAGACTTTTTTTAGAAATTGGTAAGATGATGATTCCAACATTTATGTGGAAAATGCAAAGGATCTAAACTAACCAAATCAAACTTGAAAAACAACAAAGTTGTTGACCTACACTGCACAACTTCAAGACTTACTATAGGGCTTCCCTGGTGGTGCAGTGGTTAAGAATCCACCTGCCAATGCAGGGGACACGGGTTTGAGCCCTGGTCCGGGAAGATCCTACATGCCTTGGAGCAACTAAGCCCATGTGCCATAACTACTGAGGCTGTGCTCTAGAGCCCCCGAACCACAACTACTGAAGCCCCCGCACCTAGAGCCCACGCTCCGCAACAAGAAAAGCCACCGCAATGAGAACCCTGTGCACCGCAACAAAGAGTAGCCCCCACTCGCCACAATTAGAGAAAGCCCGCACACAGCAACGAAGACCCAACGCAGACAAAAATAAATAAATAAATGAATAAATGTATTTGTTTATTTATTTAAAAAAAAAAAAGATCTACTATAATTAAAACAGGGTGGTACTGACATAAGGAGTGACCAATGGAACAGAAGAGTCCAGAAATCAACTGCCATGTATACAGTCATCTGAATTTCAACAAAGGTACCAATGCAGTACAACGGCATTTTCAACAAATGATACTGGAACAACTGGATATCTGTATGGGAAGAACATTTAATATTCTTCACAAAATAATTTTCACACCATTCACAAAAACTAGAGATGGATCATAGGCCTAAACATAAAAGCT